CTCCAAGGAACTGTAATAGTAACATCATCCAAAAAGCTGAAAAATAGTCTGGGAAAAGGAGATGATATCCTGAGGAAGAATGTATTGGTAACTTCCATTAGCTGTTTCAACTGCAAGAGCAGGCTAAGTCCCAAAATAGAACTGAAATGATCATATTTTGGGTGTCCCAGGTGAGAAACAGAAAATAACTGCATCCACTGGCTGCTTGAAGTGGTGGTGTCCTGTACTCTCTTATGCCTCTATGATAAAAGGTTCTCTATCCAAATCAGCTTCTCTCTCTCCTCCTGCACTGCACATCCTTGGCCCTTTCCCTACACAGGTCTGCAAGACCTTGGACCATTGTTGGGGAAGCCTTGCTGACTCCAAACTCTGTAACATGGATTGCATCTGAAGGGAAATCCTGCCTGTTCTACTCTTCCCTCACACAGGGAAGGTCCATGGGCTGGCCCATTTTATCCTCCCATCTCTGGGATGGCTGGGCCCCTTCTGAGATCTACAGCTTGGTGTCCCATCTATACAGGTAACTAACCTGTCACAAGTGTTCTGCTGTTGTATTACTGCCAAGTTTGCTTCAGTAGTAACAACTTAGTAATCTGTAATTTATATATATATATATATATATACACACTTCATGACTACTGTTATTGGGTGCTGCTATATTTGATTGTTGCTATACCAATGCTGCAGATATTGCTCTGTAATAGCTATATATACATACATATGCATATATATATATATACACATATAGATATATATATATACACACATATATATGCTTGATTTATTAGAGGTGTACTTGCTAATGGTAAATTGTGTGGTGTTTCTGGTAATCTGTAATAAAGAAAAGAAAATTAGAGGCAAAAGTGTCTGTGTCCTGTATTTCACAAAATCCTGCGAACCCATTCTCAAGGTCTTCAAACACACATAGGCCAGAGACACCACATCACAGTTTTAGTCACTCAACCCCATTTCTTCTGCACAGGATGCAAAACAACCAGAAAAGAATAAGGAACAACACGCACAGAATTCTCTAATATCAAAATATAGCAATTTATTCAAGACACTGAATATGATCTGTTGATTCTCTCCTTAAAACAAATGAGCTACAATACACAAGGTGAATTTGAAGAAAGTGTGGGTGGGGGAGAAACAAAATAAGGGTTGATGTTGTTTCAACAGAACCTGGGAAATGCTTAAATGAGAACCAAGTCTGGCTGCAAGTCTGACACAGACAATAAAAACTGCAGAAGCCAGAATTCAGAATTTCATTGAGTGGCTGAAAGAACATTTCTGCAATTGACAAAGAACCACATCTTTTAAAAAGGCAGTAAGAGGAAAAAAAAAAAAAGGAGGAAAAATTAAAAAGGGAAAAAGAAAAAGAAACCCAAAAACAAAGCAGACCCTTACATTTGACAAAGTGCACTTCACTTGGCTCTAAAATTAGCTATTTTTTTCTTTTTTTTTTTTTTTTAAACAAATTAAAAGGAAATTTCTAAGATGTAGCATGGGGTTAATGTGTGTATAACCCTGTAAGTCAGGCCCTTTATTGCCCCATAAGGGACCCAGTGTTTTCTACATAAAAGATTCAGTATCCTTCTAACCCACAGAGTATAGTGGTTTTTCAGAAACTGGGTTTTTTTTTCACTTCCAGGCCAGTTCCAGACAGCCAGCAATAATAAAAATCCAGCAAGTCTCTGGATGTTTCACAATCCTGTTTGGTCACTTAGGCTTTTCCATTTTCTCTTCTGTTACAAAGAACTATAAAACAAAATTCTAGGAAGAAATCTTGTTAAGTCCCCTGGGCTGTTGCTTTGTGCAGTTCTGTTGCAGGGGAGTCACAGAGAGGCTCTGCCAGCCTGGGAATGCATCGCTGCTGGAGGGGAGGGAGAGCTCCCAGGAGCTCAGTGCTGCAGGTCTAGGCTGAGACATCCACCCTGAACTACAGCCTGGAAAAGCCTCTCTCTCCCCACTGTCCGTGTCTTGAAGAAACCACATCCTTAGGTTAAGGTTAACCTTTGCAACTGCACCTCCTGCCTTCTTAACAGCTCTCATTTCAGCTGAAAACTGTCTGCTACTGCATCTTCCAGGAGTTTCCAGTCTTTAGGATCCCTTGTGGAAGGGAAGAAAAGTGAATTTTCTTAGCTCCTTGCATACACTGCTTTTAACTCTGACAGTCCATATAAAAACTTTCTGGAGCAGCAGCTTCTCTCACACAAGCTTTGCAAACCAATTGATATTCAAATTTTGTTTCTCTTGGCTTCTTACCTCCATGTAGGAAAGTAAAGTGGTGTTCTGACAAATTAAAAAAATGGGAAAAAAAGAGCAAGCGTCACGGACACTGCCCTGTTATCTACAGTAGCTATCCTGGGAACAACTATGAATCACAGGCTGTGGAGCCAGCCAGTCATGCAGCATTGAGCAAATTAATCTCTTCAAATCCTGAGGTCTGGCCTATTCAGGTGTCACTCAAGGGACAGAGGCAAGGCCAGAGCCCCGTAAGTGCTGCCCTCCCACAGACCAGCAACTTCTGCTTGTTATTCTCAGAAATGCCACCAAAAAGCAGGGTAGGAATTTAACCGTTTACATGCAATGACTGCAACCAAATCACTGTCCAAACCGTGCTTCATAAAACTACATCACACCCTTGTATTCAAGTTCAAGACTCTTGGAGCAAGTCCTCTTGTTTTTTTTAAAAAGTGGCAACTTAAAATTAGCAGGTACATATGGTTATTAGAAAAAAGTGCAAAACTGCCACATGGTGATCTACAGTCATGCTCTTGGTGCAAAAAACTAAAACCAACACATAAAAGCATTTAACGCCAAAAACAATCCTTGATACTGCCTGGCATCCAATTATTTGAGATAAATTACAAACAAGCCTAACTATCACTAGTAACCAAAATCCCACAGAACTGTTTTTACCTCAGGACTAACACTTTAAAGTAGTTACTTCTTTCCATTCTTTTCTCCTTTCCAAAGGTGTATCTTTAAGAAATGCAGCTGAAGCTGGCAGTGACTACTTCCACTAGAAGGACTAGGATACTCTACAGATCCAAGCATACAGAGAAGAAAACTCCAGAGAAAAGATGGTGTTCAGATTCCACAATGATGTCTTGGAGCGCACCAGCTCTCACACCACCAGCTCAGCCCAAGGGCTTTGGGTTTGCTCAGATTAAATCACACCTTCAGCAGCTGTAATCAAACCAAGGGGAAGATGCCATGTTACAGTGACTTTGGGCAGGAAGGTTCTATCTACATCTGTGAAGAGGTTTGTGGCCTGTTTACCCTCTCCTACAGATCCTAGCCTAGGCTGTAGAGAGGACAGTCTCAGCCAGTTCTGAGGATCTGTCAAGTCATGTCTTACACCACCCCAAGGCTGCCTTGTAGTTTACAGCACTTTCAGTAAACTCTGCCTGTGTGTACTTCTTGGCATTTGTCATTTCCTCAATTAGAGGAACGCAGCCTTCAGCTGGCACCCGTGCAGGTGTCACGGCTACAGCGAGGAAATCTTGTCCAAAGTGGATAGTGGAACTCTCATCGTCACTCTGATCATTTCACACCCCACACCTTCACAGGGGTGTATAATATGAGATAGAACTTACATATGATGTCAGCATCTACTGAATTCATTGACTTCTGAGCACCACACTGAGGACACCCTCAAGGCTAAAGCTGTCTGAGCAGACAGAGATCCTCCAAGGGCAGACCCAGAGCTTTTCCTGCAGGATGCAGCACACAGATGGTGACAGCAGCACCACCCACTGCAATGGCAGAGCCTTCTTCTTGGTGTGTGTGGTCTGTGGATGGACAGGAGCCTGGCAAGGGTCTATCCTTCAGCAGTGACAGATGCAGTCAATATATTTCAGTTCACCTGGCCTCATAAAGTCAGTGGTGAAACCCCACTGACTGACTGGAATAATGAATAGTGGAAGACAGCACTGCTCAAGCAAGGCCACAGGCAGCCAAACCCATATTCTGTCAAAATCTGAACTATCTCTAGAGACAAGAAGATACACAAACATTTTCTGCTGGTTACTGAAAACAAACAAAAATACAGACTAAAGAAAATGAATGCTATATTTATAGTCCCAGGCTTCTGCATCTCTTTGAATAAGTTTACATCATCAAACAGCCACAAAAATGGAATGAGACTGAGTAAATGGCTGGCTGCTGGAAAAGGACTTTAGTAAAGGACTGGTATTTTTTGTATCAAACATTGTTTTTTCTTACAGCACTTTCTGAGAGAGGAGAGAAAAAGGATACTGTGCCTTTCATGTTCCCTGTGTGTCATTCCTTTCGCTTGAATTACACAACTGGTCTACATTTTGTGGCCATTTTAGGCTTTTAAAACTGTTTAACATAAAAAATATTTTTTTTTCAAAAATACACTGGGTTCTTTCTGTTAAAATTCATCTTTCTCCTGTAAAAATCTTCCCCAGCACTGCATTCTTATATAAAGCACTTATTACACAATTTGCTGAAAGTGCCCTTGAGACGCTAAGATCTGAAGCATGGAGGATTTTTTTTTCTTTTAAATGGAGAGAAAGAAAGGAAAAGGAAGATATAGAAGAGAGGAGAAGCAGTCTGTCAAAAATTTTCATTGTCATGTCCACCTGGCTGCATCTACTATGGGCATACAGAGAAAAGAAAAAAAAAGGGGGGGGGCAAAAAGAAAGAGGAGAAAATAAAAAAGGAAGGAAAAGTTGGGAGTGGAAGGGAGAAATAAAAGGAAAACAAAAGTTTCATCCTAAGCCTGGGATCCTCCAGGCTGTATTATTCCAGCTGATAGAAAAACCACTGAACAAAAAAAGTAGTCTAGAAAATAGAAAGTGTTGTGATTACAAAGTTGAGCATTTCATCAGTACAAACTGGTCTTTGAACGTCCTTTGGGAGAGCAACTGTAGTGTCCAAATTGGAAGGAAAAAATACAACACCGCATGGAGGAGGATTTTTTTTCCCTTTTGGTTTATCACAGCATTTTTCTTTTTTTTTTTTTTCTCTTTTTTTTTTTTTTTTTTCCTTTTTATTAATTTTTTTGGCACAGCTTTTTTTTTTTTTCCCCAGCCATCAGAGCAAGTTCTCAGATGCAAACCAAACAGTGCAATGCCTAGCTGGTGGCTTCATGCTTCCAAGGCTCAATGTTCCAGGTGGAAACCATTCCCTCCCCCTCTGAAGTGACTGTTTTTACTCCTTGATGAAGGTTACGGACAAAATACAAGTCACCTGTGGCCAGGGAGAGTCGGTTTCACGGTACACTCTAACTTTGTTCAAGTTTGTACAGTTCTGGAGCTGTTAAGAATAGTTTTGAAGAGTGCTTCTCCCCACACATTCACTGCTGGTCCATTTGAAATTTCTTCTAAAACATTTCACGTTTACTTCCGCAGATCTAGAACACAAACCTGCAGAGAGAAGACCCTGTGTTAAGAACCCCTTGTGAGGGTCATGAGGAAATCCTGTACACAGCCAGCTGGATGTTACACTCCCCAGCTTCAAATCAGCCTCACTCAAGCACTGGTTTACAGGCACACAAGTCAAGAAACAAACTGACACAGCAGAAAGCCCAAGTGAAACCCACACATTTAACATTTAGCTGGGCTTTCATTGGTTTACAAACATTTTGGTAGCACATCCGTAAGATTATGGGAGCTATTCAGTTGCCTAAATATCATGTCCCCTTCTGAAATACATCCAAAACAGATGTAGGTGTGGCGGGCATGACAGTGGGCATGTGCCCATCTGGAGCAGATGTTGGGAGCCAGGCTGAGATGTCACAACTAAGCTCAAACAACGGAATCATATCATAGGTGTTCCCTTTGTTAAAACCATTTGAAAAATACTGCTCCAAAGTAGTTATGTCAGCCAGACATATGTGTTCTGTACAAGCTGATCATGCTACAATGGAATTTTTTAGAAGTAATATTAACAGCAAAAAATAGTAAGGAATAACCAGGATCTCCACACCAATATTTCTCCTTTACAACAGGACAAAATCTTTGGTTATCATGCTCAAAATTTTCTTCTTTAGCTATTCCTATTCAAGGGAACAGGAATATTCTTCCGTGGAATCAAACTCTGAAAGACCCAGGGTAACTGTTTGTTACAGAGTTGACTGCTGCAATCTGCTGTTCCTTAAAACTGACAGATAATGACAGAAACAACATTATTGTTGTTCTTGTCAAATATGTATTTAAAAGTCATTCTCATCTTCAGCAATGTTCACCTACTGCACAAGCATTCTTCATTTCCAACAGGAACACCACCTCCTAGTATTCAAAACCTTTCAAAGCAGGAGTATTTTAAATACACTACACAGAGCTACTTGTTTGTGTCTTGAGCCTTTGGCTCTGTCCCCAGGAGGCAAATATAGCATCCTGTTTTTTGTTGATGCTCCCCAGAAAAGAAATCTCCACCCAACCTCTGCAATGTTTGATGATCCTTACCGATCCGTCTGATGCGCTTGCTCCCACTTTGTCGCCTCTAGCATTCCAGCAGACTTCAAAGATGCCCCCGGTGCCTCTGTAGCTATGTACTAGAGTTCCACTCTATAAAGCAAACAGCATTGGATATAAAAGTTCCCCTTCTTTGTCTCTCATATGGCACTGTGTTAAAAGGGGGAGCTATTCAGATCACCCAGCTATGGCCACCTCCATATCATGATGGAAACTGCTTAGGAAACTGTTAGGAAACCTGTCTTTGTCATGAGGAGCAACAGGCTCCTCCAGAAACAGTAGGACTCTCAAGACAACCGTTTTTGTCAACTCTGTATCAGTAAACTTCACAAAATCGAAGCCATCAGATTCACAGCCTAACTCAGTTTGTAACTAAATAAAAGTATCCCTTATTTCTCATCTACACCTTTGCTTCACAAAGCTGATGACCCAAAACAACGTACCTATTTTCATGCATGCTACTTGTTTTAGCATACAAAGCAGACTGAGCAGAACTGTTCTGGGCAGTCACCTCACTGCACCTGAGTGACTCAGCTGCCATGGATCTGTGCCAGCCAATACAATCTGGTTTCACCCTGACAGGCAGGTCATGCATGACCTAGGTACACACATTTTCCATTTAAGCTTTTGCTATTAATGTGTCATCTAAACCAGATGTGCTTCACATGAGGCAAAACAGTACCTGAGTATTCCATATATGGACACATTTGTCAAAGGACCCGCTGGCTAGATATTTTCCATCAGGACTAAAAGCTACACTGTAGACGGGCTCTTGATGCTTTGTTAACGTATGGATGCAGACTCCTCGGTCAACGTCCCACAGCCGAACCGTGGAATCAAACGAAGCACTGCAAGAAGCATTCAAACAAATTAAGTGTTAATCAATTTGCACTGTGATACTGTAAATGTTATAAGAGAATACCACCGTTTTGATTTTTTTCCCCTTGGCTAAGCAAGATGTAATGCTGCAAACAGAAAAGCTAAAATGCAGCTAAATGCAGCCTGTATGTTCTTTATCTTAAGAACTACAGCTATAGGACTGAATTCTTGTATGAGGACTCTTAGGGTCTATCTAGGTGTGCTCTGTGGAGCCCTAAGAAAGCCAAGCTCCCCATTTTTGAGATTCTACTTCCTGTTACTCAGGAAGGTCAAATATATATTGTCATTAATAGTGTAAATGGGTCCAGAGAGATCATACTCATAATGGATTCACCCTATTTAGTGAATTAGCATTCTGTAATTCTCTGTGGTTTTTTTCACTTGGTATTAGTGATGCTTTTAGCTACATTCCATTTAAACCCCAAGCTGTGGGCTTGGAGAAAGGCAAAGGAAATAATTTGCACTAAAAATAATAATAAAAGAATAACTCCAAGAAAGTGAAGTTATTCCACGTCCACTCCCAAACTAAGGAGTAAAAGAAACCAGTTTCCATACAACTTCTCCCCACACTGCACACCCCATGAGCTGATCTGATAAACCCACGATAAAGCTTTTCTCTATTAGCTAAGAAGGTTACAAAAATTTTCTCTAACTTCCCAGATGAGTTGCATGACCCCAGTTAGAAACCATTCCAGCTGCCTGAATCTTGAGAGCACCTGCCTCAAGATTTTCACTCCTAACAACTTCATGCTGGATGTGAAAGTGCAATGCCAATTTACAACCATTTTATCAAGGCAGCTGAAAAGTTAAATACCACGACTCAATTTTCTTTCTTTGTTCCCATTCTTTCTTCAAATACAATCCTTTCCCTTTGTATCCATCCCCCTGAGTTACATACACAGACACTTTTTAGTGCAATCGTCTGCAGGAAGACTGATGGCAAAGTGACAATAGGGTTACATGTCAGAAAGATGATCCTTCTTCCTGGCAGCCAAGAAAAAGGTGTATTTTTTACCTTGCTAACATGATGTTGGAGTTTGGGTTGCTGGTGCCTGGTCCTGTAGGGCTCCATTTGATAGTGTAAATCTCTTTGCTGTGAGCCTGAAGATCATGTACACAGGTATCTTGCTTCATACTCCATATCTGAGTCAGAGAAATAATGAAGGGGGAAAATGGCAACATTATTAATCTCTTCTCAGCTGAATTTTTCAGTTCTATGTTATTCTTGCCATTTGTTTATTTGAGATCTTGATACCTGAATACAATTAATGAATATAATTTATTAATGCAGCAACTTGGCACATAGATTAAAATAACTCCAACCGGGGAAGGAGTTACACATTTAATAGTATTTATTCACTAGATAAGAACTAAAGATTTGCTGTACTTCCAAGAGCCTGTAACTATTTTCATACAGAAGTTTATCTATTTGAAGAAGTTTAACCTGAATTTTATTTACACATTGCAACAGCAGTAATTTTAAAGAAAGAGAAGAAAATTGCAGCAACTGCTTAGAATACAGCAATTTTCTCTTATGCTAGTAAAATTTTCCTTTTCCTCTGGAACTCCATTTGTCTCCCTCATGTTTTTAACAGTACAGAAGATGGAAGACAGTCAGCTATTTCTGCAGTGTTACACGGCCAAATACTTCAGTGTAAAATGAAGAAATTCACAGCAGGGAAAATAACTCAAATTTAGTCAGTCAGTTTCAGAGAGATACCAAAAACATAGTAATGATTTAACTCAGTTGTTGTAAGTCTGCACCATGAGAATGATGTGCTCTTATGCTGAATCGGTGTACCTGAGACTGCTCTTGGAAATGCTACACAAAGCTCAGCCATGTTCTTCGGCTGACAGGCAGCATGTTCCAAGAATTTATAGGAAAAGCTCATTAATTCCAAAAATAAAGAAGAAAAAAGTTGGAGAGGACTGATTTACAAAGGAAAAGGAAGAAGAATAATTGCCTTAATTTAGAGTATTTGCTGTCTCCATCACTGCAGGTTTTTATAAACAGGTGAGGCCAAGGATAGCAAACTACTAGCTCTTGTGCCAAATTCAGTAGTCAGGAATTTGAACTGGTAACAACACCGAACCATGGTGGTTTTTAAAACACAGCATGCAACTGGGCACCAAAGAGATTGGGCTACTCATGGGTCAGGATGTTTAAGCACAGCAAGAACAGTTATGCAATACTGCTTTGTGGCAGTGTGACAGGCAAGGTGCTCCCTTTTGTCCCTGTTTTCTGTAAATTTCCAGCTCTGTCACTAGCCTGAATCATCACCAGCCTCACATCTGGAATCCAGATTGATGAAAACCTCTGTGGGTATGTGGCAAAGACAGAGCAGAAGTCAGTCTACCTATGAAGAGGAAATAATCATAACACTGACATTCACTTAGCTCATCTGCAAATTCTGCTGCTGCCTCAGTTTCATGCTAGAAACGTCCCAAGCTGTGTCAATCAGCAGTGCAAAGAGATCTGAGTGTGAATTAACACAACCATACTGCAAAGAAACTTTTTCCAGTACTGTCCCATCCACAAAACCAAATCTTTCCTGGGATATTTGCCTTCTTCAAGGAACCAGCATAAATCAACAGTCCAGCAGTAGGGCTTTGCTTAAACAACACACAGCTACACCTACACAGACAGCCTTCATTTGATGTGGCTGGAAAAGAAATATGAGAAAGGGTTTTGGGCTGCTGAAGTTCTGTACTATCTATACTTAAACTATGACATTTTTGTGACAATGGTGTATCAGTCACATAACACTTATTTGGATAGAATGCCTCAATTTCCCCAGTATTTGCTTCATGGTCTTCAATCTTTCAGATTTGCTTCAAGAAACATGGGACAAAATGGAAACTACTGTTCATGCAGAGTTTGAGGTGATACAGTACCATCATTCTGAAGAAGACTGAAAAAGAAATAATTTTTTGTCTTTAATTTTTGAAGAACAGGAACAGAAATCGCTTTACCTTTAATGTCATGTCATCGGAGCAAGACGCTAGTAGCATGCCAGATGGGTCCCATTTGATTGCATTCACCTCGTTCTGAAATCAAGAGTCATTTTATTAAGCAAATATTCCAGTTACTGCATCGTACTGGGCACTCAGCAGAGGGCACTCAAGGTTTATGCATGGAACAAGTTCACCCACAAATTACACTGCTGGGTGCTTTTAGGTGTTAACAAAAGCAGTGCTGCCTCCCCAACATGCTATTTAAGTGGCATTTTGGGTGGAACCATTCTGTGCTTGTGAACAATACACACAAACAATCTTCTGATGTGTGTTCTGGCACAAAGTTGCTCCTATCCTTTTGTCATATCCTAGGATTTAAATAAACCCAGACAGATTGATGATACAGCATTAGCTTCTTTTTAAAACTGGAGCATTTCTTTCATTAATGTTCTGTAGACTTGGTGATACAAGTTTTCAACAGAAAATACTGATACTGGCGAGGTGTAATTTGATAATTCTTCATATTGTAGCTCTACAACAGTGCTGGTCTCTCTAAAGACAGGTTTATATGTAAATGAATTCCATGATGGAATATTAATCAGTTTAGGATGCTTTATCAGTCTTTCTAGCACTTTGTAATTAACTAAGCCTAGTGTATCCCCTTGGTAATGATAAGTTTGCCATGCTCTTCCACAGATATAGGTAAAGAGAAAAAAAAAATTTATAAAAAGGGAAAGACTGGTTTCTTAAATTTCATAAATTGGCCCAGGGTCTCAGTGAAAACAATGCTGGAAAATATTTAAATTTTGCTTTATATATTTTACACGTTTCAGTAATAATCAAAAGCAAGTATAGATGTATTTGATGTGAAAAACTGGATCATGTACAGAATGGTGCATTTCATATAATTATAAAAATCACCAGTTTATTGTTAGGAATGTACAACCTGTCATGAAATATTAGTTTAACCACAGACTAAGACAAAGGTCTTAAATGCATAGTTCTGGAAGCTAACATCTAAATTATGGGTCAGTAAATGATTGCAGTTTTTCTCACAAATGAAACCTAGAAAAAGTAACCTTTGACAGTCATTAAATACCACCAAGAAAAGAGCGGGGAAATACATACTTAATATATTTTATTAGATTAAATTGGTTCTAAAATTGAACAATGACTGGAAGTAAACTGTTCTCCCCTTATTCATAGCTCTCGTTTAGTAAGGGAAATTAGGCCAGTGGAAAACAGAATCATATTTATGAATCTGCCTTTAGTCTGCAGCTCATGCTACACAGAAATACTCTTACTATTTAAGCTGGAGGTGTTGCCTCCTATGGTAATTTAGAACATTTTATCCCTTTTCATAAGCAGTGAATCACTCACTCCCAAGGAATATGCTTTTAGGGAAATAATGGAGTGTAACACCTTTGCTGCTAGAACATACCCAGCAAACACATCATCTGCCATCATGGTAACATGTTGCTGTGACGTTACCACTAACATTCTGGACTTGTTAAACTTACTGTGTGTCCTTGAAATGTTTTAACAGGACGATCACAGCCAAGTCTGCATACATGGATGCACATGTCAGTACTGCAGGAGGCAAAAGTAGTGTTGTTTTGCCAGTCTACATCCAGAGCAGGAGCTGTGAATACAAACAACAGAAGGAATATCAGGGATCATGACAAAGAAACAGCTATCCCAAATAATTTTCCTCCCATCACCGACCTGGATGAAACAGACTACAGGCTAGTTCTTGGTCTGTCACTTGCTGCCAGTTATTAGGGCTGATAGGGACTGTCTGAAGAGCACAAATTATTTATTCTATTCCAGTGGATAATCTGGATACTTTGCATGACATCTACTTATAAGAAACTTTTGGTTTAAGTTACATAAGAGGGGGAAAAATACTACCTCCACCCTCTCTGCTCCTAGCTATGTATATCATGGATTTATATCTAGCATTTATCCCTCTGTAACCCAGTTCAGTGAAGAAACTGAAAGAAAACTAACCCAGAAGAAACGTGGATAATTTCATCTGGGTTAGACAAGCATGTTCCTGTGAATGCCAGGCACAACACATGGGAAGGTGGAGAAGCAGGTGGCTGTGTCCCTTTGCACTAGAGCTTTATGCAATCTTTGATACAAACCTATCATTCTGTGCAGGCACATGGATTAATGAGACTAAAAATAAGACTAAAAATCAGTTTAATTTGCTTGGGGACTGTTTTTAGGCAGGTACATTGATCAGCCTGATCTGAAATACGAGTTTCTGTAAAGGGTTTGGCATTAACTAGCACTGATGTAACAAAACTCTGTGCACAGAGAGCATGTGAGCATATAAGCAGTGCCTGAGTGTGCAACACAAACACACACACACACTTTGCAAAAAGAATGGGAAAAAAATCCCCTAACAACTCTTCCAGCATGTCACTGCATAGTGCAAGCAGGAGCAGGAGGGAGCTCCTGACAAACAGCTTGCTTGTGTTTCTATGACTGTTGCTTGGGCTTTTTCCCTCAGGATAGAGTTTAGCTGCCCTCCAGAGGATGACATAAGACTTGCTAAAATATAGAAATCTTCATTCTCAGCACACTCTTGTGAGAAGCATGCGTGCTAGAATGAGACCAGCATATAGGAAACAAAGTTGAATCTCTTCCTGGCAAAGATACAATGCAAATTTATCATTAAAATGAAACCAAGAAATTCCTTACTCAAACATGTTTAGAAAGATAACTTTGGTAATACAGAGGTGAAAAATATCTGTTCTGACAAACCTGTTACATTTAAATATGTTTTTCCTATTATAATTTTTATAAACTTCAAAGCAAAATGGATCTGTATCACCGTCTGAATCATCAGGTAGCTCTCTAAATGAGAATGGAGGGCTGACATTGTTTTGTAGACAAGGGTTTTTTTCAGTAATAATGAAAAAAAAAAGCTTAATTATTCTGTATGACAGGTAAGGAATATTTTTGCAGAAATATAAAGGAAATACGTGTGAGGAAAACAGACTACTTTGAATTTTCCAATGAATGTGAATGATGATCAGGAAACAATGAAAAACCTTTCTTTAACTGCCTGTTTGTCTTTCTTCTCATGCTACAAGCTTTGTATTACTATTTCAAAGCAAACAAAAAAAAATTATCGTCATTAATAGCAATATGTCTTCAGGGCTAATATCTAATATAATATGTATGAGTCAAAAACTAATTTTCAGAGAGCTACTGGCACCTAAAGCTATGGGTTTACACTGCAGCATAATGTGAATCATGAAGTACTGATAATTAATACTGATTAATTTATTGGTCTACTCAATCATATGTTTACTGGACAATTAACTACACAAAAAGGTGTGAAAAAATCAACCAAACATGGTTCTTGATGCAAATAATCAAATTGCCAAAGTATTTCCAAAACCACAGGATATCAGCCAACTGCATAAAAACAGAATATCACAATAAAAGCAGCAACAAATCCTTTAAAAATGCAGCTAAATTAAAAACCAAAAACAAAAGTGTTATAATTATCTGGTAATTTAGGCTTTTTCAGAACAAATTTAAGTGTGATTCAGAGCACTTAGATCACAGAATCATAGAATGGGTTAGGTTGGAAGGGACCCTAAGGAACACCTAGTTCCAGCCCCCCTACCATGGGGACACCTTTTACTAGACCAGGTTACTCAGAGCTCCATCCAACCTGGGCTTCTCTGGGCAGCCTGGTCCAGTGCCTCACCACCCTCACAGTAAACAATTTCTTCCTGATATCAAATCTAAACCTTCTGTCTTTCAGTTTGAATCCATTCACCCCTTCTCCTGTCACTGCACAACTAGATGGTTAAAACTGGCTCGCACAAAAATCTCTTTTGGTGTCAATTTAACAGCTTGCTCCTGCAAGCAGAGACATCAGTCTGTATCTATTAGTAGATGTAAAAATTGGATTATTTAGCTCCTTTTTAAAGAGATAAGTTTTGTGAATATGTATTTTGATCAAATGTACTATGATGATTCATAGTTTTGCAGAAAAAATGAAAACCCTAGAAGCTACTTACCTGCATAGTTACATATTTTGACCAAAAAACCTTAAAAATTACATGGGAACACTAATGACATGGAGGCCTTCAACACCTGGACAAAGGACTTTTCCTTGTGTATTTTAAGATGACAGTTTTGTCCATGTGGTGTAAACTAAACTAGTTGTAAAGAAGCACAGAGTATAAAAACCTTATGTTATTCCCAGGCCAGCTACCTCCAGACTTCAGAGAAGTACATGTTAAAGGAAGTGCACCCTGCCTAGACCTGACTTCTAATTGTTAAAACATCACCTTTAATCCTAGTGTAGACAAAGTTTTTGGATTCCAGATATGGAAAGGAATTTGCTGTTAGTTTGTCCTGGTGACACAAAGAGGACAAGGTGAGGTCTTTGTGGCTTCAGACTTGTGAGAACAAAGTGAGTACAGAGTCTGAAGGTTTTGTATGATATATGCTTTCTCCTATCAAAAATTTCCTTAACAGCATGTCCTTAATAACTGCTTTACTTCCCTAAGAAAACATATATGAAATAGTGAAAAAAATAATTAAAAATATTAACTTCTCCACATCTACACTTTAGTTGTGTCTCATGTTCCAAAGACAAACAGCATGTTCAGTAAGAACTTTAAAAAAAAAGTATTTTTATGCACATGGACATATTACATTGGTAGATATAGCTGAGTTTTCAACTTGCTAAAAAGGGAATTGAATGATTTGTCCTTGATGCACATCACTGCTTACATGGCAGTGAACATGATCCTGAAGAGGCAACAAAGTTCTGAATCCCCAACTATTTAGATTAATAGCTACGGATTAGAGGATTAAGAGTCTTACTAACTAAATCACTCTATGTGCACAGTTTGCTGCTATGGAACAGTTATGGTAGATAAACAAATACCACAGTGAGAAAATCTGTCAGCAGACACCAACTCCTCGAAACCAACAGCTGCATTAATAAATGAGGAGATGAGTGACAAAAATGCAGAGTATGGATTTGCTGTGTCCATGGACATACTTTTTGTCTTTTGTTGCATAACCATTTAGACTGCTACTGCATATTATTCACATCAGTGTAAATATGAGAATAAGAATGATTTGAGATGAAAAGCATGTGCAAAATAATGTTTTAAAATTAGTATTGAAATACATTTTTCAACACCATTAAGAACCTTGTGAAAGCTTGTTGTATTTAAAAACTGATTAGCTACAGCGAACTAGGAAGATGAACACTTCTAGCATCAGAATCCAGAATGTTCTCATTGTTTTAAACATGTTTTTCAACATGTTTTTAACATGTTTTAAACACTTTACTATATCCCTTAAAATTCTTTACTATGATAATGCAGCCACTTCAGATCATGAATTCAGCCATCATCTTACAAGTCTGGTCTCAGGTGAATTTGAGATTATGTCAATGACTCTCTGTTATTCAAAATTATTTAGTATCTGTGACATCTCCTGTCTCTTGGAACAGATCTACAGATCCAAGTTGTGTTTTGGTGCAGCAAGGATTGAAGAACTTCAAGTTAAAATAAAAGCTACGAAATTCTGAGGATTTTTGCGAGTGCAGTGGTGAATGCAAGGTGCATGAGACATCTGCCTGCTCCTGTCTCAAATCAGAAACAGAAGCAGAGAGAATGGAAAAGATCCCAGACACCTCCACTGAAAGTTCTCTTCATGAGTCACCACCTGGTACTATTCAAGCACATAGGTAACAACAGGACTGCTCCGTTTGGTAGATGGGGCTGGTGTATGAACCCTCTCCTAAAATCAGTTTGACTTTCAAAGTTAATTCTCACAGAACTGTGTCTTTCTGAAATGAGAATAAACCCACAAGCCATGATACTCAGGATAGTTAAAGCACAAGAAAACTTCCTTGAAACTTTTCTCTGGCAGATATGGGTAAAGTACATTGACAGAATTAAAAACTGCATTTCATTTTCCTAAAAAGAGTTATGCAAAAAGTACCTGAATGGAAAGGAAATTGCTGTTTAGCTTCTCCCGTGTGGGCATCCCAAATTATTGTTGTCTGCATCCAAAGAAAAGGTAGGAAAAAAAATTAGTGACTGTTCAGCTCAGAGAAAAAAAAAAACACCAAAGAGCACCCTCACTAAGTAGCAATTCTAAATGATGAACAGATAAAATTACTGACTACAGTAAGTAATCAGCCTTGCATGCTAAACAGTGGGAAAAACAGAAATTACTTCCAGGTATTACAGAATAATGATCTAAGTGTAGTTAAAGAAGTATCACGCCTACAAAAGCAGCAATAAAACTATGAAGAACGAGCATACTCTCTCTGAACAGCACTAGAACACAACACTATACATTTTTAATAAGCATATTGAAAAAAATGTTTCAGTTACGATTTTTAAAGCATACTTTTTCCCTTTTCAAAAGATGCAAGTTGAATTCTACTCTGAAACAATGCTGAAACCCATTTGTAACAAACCAACAAGTGAAATGCTTTTCTATCAGCAGAGTACACAACACTTCTTGCCACTGAGGTGGGAGAGACTCAAGTGTGATTGGCTTAGTAGAGGTTTAATCCATACTCACAGCACATGTGAGTGTGTCCCCTGTAGAGCTCAATACCACCTTCTGAGTGAATTGTCAATTTGGTGGGAGTATATACTTCCAGAAAACTAATTAAGGATACATCATCTTGCTGATAATGGATCACCTAAAGAAATGCTGCTTTTATTGAGAATGTAAGTTTGCCACAGTATGGAATTACCATTGGGAGACCAGTGTAGCTGAATATAAACCCATAATAAAGGGAATAAGTTTCTATCTTCACAAGGATATGAAAATACAGGGATTCACTGAGTTTACAAATGTACAAACCTCAGCTAGACTTCCTCTGCCAGTTGCTGGAGAGAAGCACTGTCAGTGCATCTCACTGGAACACAGGCCATGCAGCCTATCCCTTGGAAGTGCCATCCTTCTTTTTGGATATTATAAAGGAAGGATGACACATGCATCTAATTTTTAGTCGCTGAAAGTTAGGCAAGATGAATGCTGTGTACTTTCCAGTTTCAGTTTTAATGGATAGTCAGTCATCTGTTCATTTTAATCGCTAATGTGCACTCAGCTGTAACTACTATGTTTTGCTTAATTTTCAGTTCAGAACCATATTTCTGGGCATATTTTCAGAGGAAGCTATATATATTTTATTCAAATAAAGCTGTTTCAACAATCAGATGAGCTAAAAGGTGTGGTATCTTTAAGATCACTTTCTTCCCGTAAATAGTTAGCTGATAAAACTACAAATGTAAGTACTGCATGCTGTTCTTTCCTTAACAGAGACACACTTAAGATGCAATTTTACACAATTTTTTTTTTTAAAGTTAGGTATTTTCCATGAAAATAGTATACATTTATGCAGCCTCAAAAATGTAATCAACATTGTATGAAAATATATTAAAGAAATGTAAACTCTCCAGGATGCCTGGAGAAGAAGAAAATAATCTTAAGGAATCTAGCAGCACAAGCTCACTCATCAGCATACTTATATATTAGAATAATGTATTTTTAAAACTCACTTTATCAACACCAGCACTTAAAATATAATTCCCCTTTTTGTTCCATTTCAGGGCAAATATTGGACCTTTATGTTGACCTAAGGTGCTTGCAAGGTTACCTGGAATAAAGAACAGGTTATTATTACAATTTCTTTACAAACTGGTCAAATCACAGCTCACTGCTGTTTGATGCTTAAGAACAATAAATGTTTGACTTACCATCTTCTGTCCATATTCTTGCAAAACCATCATATGAGCCTGTAGCCAATAGTGTTCCATCACTCTGTTGGAATATATATAAATGGCAAAGGTGGATACAAGATAAAATCTGTTTGAACCAACCTTTTTCTTTCTTTTTTAAGGTTTGCTAATTGTGATTTATGGGAATTTTGAGTCCACTTGTTGAGACAGTTTATGCTATGATTTGAACTAAAGGTTATTACTTCAGACAGCACAGAGGAAATAAAATCCTCTAGCATGCAGTGAAATACTGGGCTATACCATCAGATACAAGCAATTTAATCAAAAGGATTAGAAAAAGAAAACAAGATATAACAAGTTCTAAGGGCTTCTTCCAGGTAACAAATAAATACTACTTATTAGACATGAAGGACCTACAAAACATTAACAGATGACCTAAACCCAGTGAATTCCCAATTCAGTGAAACTCAGGCACCTCTACTTGAAAGAAGGCCTTAAGCCACATACACTCCAGTGTTATCTACCACCAAGGAACTGCTTTCTACTTGTCTGAATACAGACTCCCACATATGCTCACGGGAACAGTACCATGATGGACAACCTGAGAAAAGCTGGGTTCACAGGTCCCACTTAGGAAGAAAAAAGCCCATGAATGTAACCAGCAAGTTGCATGTATTGTGGAAGGAACCCCTCACAGAAGAATATGTCCTACGCAGCCAGTGATGCTGGTGTGATTGGGCCAGAATGAGAATAATTAGAACAGAACTTGACTCTGCCATCTGGCGTGATGGACACTGTTGAAGCAGGGTATTTAGTCTTTCAACATTTCAGCATCTGGATTAAGAGTGAGATTCATCCCATTTGTCTCCAAACATGCAGAAAGAAGTTACGAGTTAGTTAAAGAGTGTCGTTTAGTCTCTCTCCATAACTAACATCATAATGTAAGTACAACTCTGAAGTGTAATTCATGAACTCATTTGCTGTGGATTGTGCCCAACCCAATATGAAAACAAGTGTTTCTCTTTCTGCTGACTTAAGGTGAGTCTAGAAGACTAGCTTAGATGGTTAAACCTACAGGAGACAAATCCTACCCATGGTATCAAAGGGCATGATCTGAAGATGCTCTCCAGAAATAACCTTTCTTATAACCTTTATGTAATGTAAATCACATAAACTAGAGAAAAACTAATTCAATACTCACCAGTGTGAGTATTTCACAGGGAAATATGATTAATATTGTGGTTCTAAATAAACAATAAAGGCAGATGGCATTTCTAGCTTGATGAATAAAAAATTAGGAAAAGGCATGAAATAATCCTTTGAAACATATGCCCACTCCAACCCTCCAAAAACATTGACTCAGAGCAGTTGTAGATTTAACTTGAATATATAATAATGTAGGGGGAATCATAACCTAAGGGAAGGTTAGGTTATATATTATTGTGATGTACACTTCTCTGGACCAGTGATGAGAAAAAAGGTGATAAATGGCAAAAAGAGAAAAACTCAGGAACTAAGATGTACAGTTTATCCAAATTTGTTGGTGGTAATTCACATTCTTTCAGAAGCCCAAAGTAAGTCAGAAGCACTTGAAATGTTTGAATTAGGAACATTTCCCTGCCTTAAGTAGTAGCACAATGCAAGTGAAGTACCAATGAAGTCTCGAAGGTAAGGAACCACTACAGGAAATACTAGAGGATGCCCTATGTTTTGGACAAATTCTCTCCTAATTGTTCTCCCCTCATTGCATGCCATCCTCTTTAAATTTCTCTTTTCTTACTCCTCGATTCATTTTTTTTTCACAACTGTTTTTCTTCACTCTAATTTCCACCAGAAACAAGTAATGAACATAAGCTTGAGTCTGATTTGCTTCCTTGACCTACCTCTACTTTCTGTACTATTCACCGACTTCTTCCATTATGCAAATATAAAATACACAGGGGAAAGGTGACTTGTGCAGTGGCCTTATCTTTTACTTTGTGAAGCACCAAGCTCACCTGAAGGACAACACTGCAGTAAAGATTAATCAAAAATTGGTCTCTGGTCAGCAACTGAGACTGTATGGAACTACTGAAAATCATTTCTGGTACTTAATTAATCTGTTTTCCTATGAAAACAAGATTAATGTGATCACTCTGCCTGTACTAATATCAGCAAAACATACAGAATGAAAATTATCTCTAAGTAACTAAGGTTCCTGCAGGGCCTTGTAAGTTCTTTTGGCAAAAATGAGACATGAAGCAGCCTTAGAGCTGCCCAAAGACACTGCCTGGACACTGGGGTTTCTCAACAATATCTGTCCTTTCTGCTCACCTTGGTATTCTCTGTGCAGGAGCACATTATCTAAGATAGGAGGTTTTGCAGGAAGAAAGTAAAAAAGGCAAGACAGTTTCATCTGGAAGGTGGATAAGTAAGTACAGAACAACTACATATGCTCCTAACAAGACAAAGAAAATAATGTGAACACATTTTGCTGTGCACAGCATAATTCAAATGAGAGTCTGGAGAGTCCAACCTCAGAAAAAGCTTCACTGGTGCTTTTATCTCCTTACATGCCAAAATAAAGTAACTATGAGATGCAAATACATTATTAATGAGGCTTCAGTATTACATAAACTGCTTGTTTAATCTTTGTTCTTAAAGCTAGATAAGTTTATTTTTACCCATGCTCCTAAAATAGAGATATAAATATATCATTGTTAAGCTTGAAGATGGCAACAGTCCTGGAAAATTACAGCATGTAGGAGAAAGTTCAGCCTGTTATGAGTATTTGAAACAAGAGGTCAGTAGGTTAGGACAGAGCTTCTGGTCACCTCAGATATGAAAGATATGGAGCAGCAACAGTAATTGCCTTGGAATTAAATTTAGACAGTTAAAAACCATGCACAGTCTTAGAAGTTAGCTTACATTCCAGTCCAATGAAGTCACATCCTTATTGCTGGGGACATCATGTCCTCCTTCTCTTATGCAGTGTCTCAAAACTAGTTGAGTGGAACCGCTGTTGCTGTTTTCATTGAGATTCCATATCCTGGCCGTTGAATCTCCGGATCTATAAAGCAATTATGCAAATAAGTTGAAATCTCCTCATATTGACCCAGCAAACAGTGTGAGAGCCTGTATTTCTGTTTTCATTGAGACAGCATTACAGCCTTGCAGGACACTGGAGGACACTGGCCTGTAGTGCAATGGGAGGGTCTGACTGCACGGGGGTGCTGGCTCTGTGTAAAACACAGCTGTGAGACCTCCGTGCTGAAATTAGCAGGAGCTCACCTAGGGGAGGGCCCTATTCTATTGAAATGTTCCCAATGTTGCAAGCAGAAGTTGTTTTGAACCTTCTGAGAATTTTGTTGTTTCTCCTGTGCCCAGAGTAGAGTGTTTCTACTGCCCAGACTAGATCCAACCACCTTTCCCTAAATCTGCTAAATGAATCAAGGCATTAAAAACCTTTAAGAAGTCATTTTTTTCTTTCCAACTCTTTCTGTACTCTGTGTACTTTTCTAAAAATGCTAACACATATTTAAATTTTACCTGTCATAGTAATTTGGTTTATTCAGAGGAGTTTTACCTGAAACACATATACCTACTGTCTATATTCTGCACTATGTACCTAAAGGTGGTATCACCATAACTGAGATAGTCTGGGACAATTTACAGTAACTGCCTGTAGCTTGGCTGCTTATATCATGCTGTCTGAAAAAGTCACAAAGTAAGTACTGACATAATAGAACAAGACAGAGACAGCATCAGCATTTTGATCTATTTTATAGACAATTATTTTCTACAGACGTGCTTTTAATGCAGGCTGAAACCCTGATTTTGCTTAGAAAAGGTTTTGAGGAGGAAGAGTTTATCATTATCTTCTTATAAGTAATATATTTATTTTGACTTTGCATGAAAAATGTCTCTGAGGTTCAGTGATCAATTTGCCATGGAGTGGAAGATATTACACTTTAAAAGTTTATTAGGATATTTTTTTCACACTCCCCCTCCTCCATTTTTTAAAACAACAACAATCAAAACCAAGTACTCTGGATTGCTTTTTCCATCCAGGAAACAATTTTCATTTACATGCAGTAAGTAGAAACTTGGAGCAAAGTTAGCATCTCTCTTACGTTTTCAAGAATTGATACAGTCTAGATCAAATTTCACTGCTGAGATATCTGATGTATTAGCTTTTCCTTTTTTTAAAGTAATGACAACAAACTTTCTTTCCTATACACAATCAAGGAGAAAAAGTCTTTCTTCAAAGCCTAAAAACCTGAGATCCATTTTTGCTCTGATAAGCCATGTTTTACTGAAAAAAAAATCCATCACAAGAGAATACTATATTTTCTTTTGGTCTACTAGTAAAGCATTTTAATTACTGATACAAAGAATACCAGGCAAATTTTCAACACTTGACATGTCTTCAAAAGCAAATATAGACCAAGCAATTATCAAACTCCATTGATCTCTGTCTATTATTTTACCAATAATTCAGTCTAATTTTACACAAACAATTCAACTGTAAAAGCAAACCTCTCTCTGCCTGTATCAGTAGCTCTGAGCTCTTCTGCATTATGGCATGCCTGGGGAATGTGCCCAATTCTCCTGTGAACCTTTTGTGCCAAGCTGAGATGTGATGGCTGGCCAGGGTTTTTAACCCAGCTAGTCCTGTACAGCCACTCTTTAATTTTCTAGACATATCTTTCACATTAATGATGAAGAAATAATTCAAATCAGGGTAATTTTTGCCACCACACAGCTGTGACTGTAACATGCACCCTTATTTCTTCAAAGGTCTGGAAAACTGACAATTTTGCATATGTTGGCTGGAAAATTAACAAAGTTAATTATTGAGGCTCAGAATTTAAGGAACATTTTTAACTGTGATAATTAACAATGAACAATACTGGGAACATAAGTCTTTAAAGGACTGCTTCATTGGTTAACATGCTAAGTAGGAAATTCCTTCAGATCTGGCTTCTCTCCTATGTAAGACTCCAGGACTGTCCTGCCTTCATTGTAATAATTCAGTTTGTTATTGGACCCTGTGAATAAAGTACTCAGTCACTTGGCTATCAAATACAATATCCTGTTTGCTAGTTCTAAAGGGGTTATGTTTTGTTTTTCAACAGTTTTATTTAGTTGGTTTTCTGGCAAGGCCTGGGCAATCTTATTTTCCAGTATTTTAATTTTGTTTTTCCCTTTTCTTCTTCCTAAGGCTACATAAGCTATTATGTGTCCCTGCAGAGAGTCTCTATAAGCCTACCAGTGTGCAGCAAGGGTATTTGTGTGTCTTCCCTTTTGTTGCTGGGGAAAAAAAAAGAGTCCAGAGAATGCTCTGGAAAGTATTCTGATTTCTGTTGAATGATTCAGTGAACCCTGCCTTATTAGAGCAGCACAGTTCAAGCACAATTCAGAAAGATATTTAATCTCCTTAGCCCACAGAAGCATTTCTATCTACATGATAAAGCAGCTCATTCCAACATGCAAGTCATGAACACTTGAGTAATAGGTATACTCCTCTGCACTCTGGTAGAGTACTGCCAAATTTTAGGAAGGCTAGCTCTGAAAGGATTTTATTTCATGCTCCCCTGCCCCAGTATGTTCATGAATCAGGGTGGACAAATGTTTGTAGAATTTAATTTGTGACATATAAAATCACCATTCTGTAACTGGGAACACAGAGGTTGAAAGTGCTGCAGCTGAGTAAAGAATTTTGCAAGATGGTTGTTGAACATTGGTATTTCTAATCTTCAGCTGTAAGTCTTAAAATCACCATTATTTTGAGATGCAATATTGCTAATGTGTATTTACTATTTCTGGCTCCAACAGGTTAAGAGTTTTTATTATTTTATTTTAAGAGATATTATTAAAAGCATTATGGGAAAGAAATTCCTCTTTTTTTTTGACACCTAACATTTCCTTAATAAAGCAGGTCTCTTAAACTAAGTGCTCACTCTTCCCAGGCAGTCAGTAGAGGAAAGTGCCTCACAGATGTCCTGATTAAGATCTCTGCCCCACTGATTCTACAACATTATTTCCTGCTACAGGTTATTCAAGTTGACCTCCCCTAATAGCTCACCACTTTGCATTAATAGACTTGATGCACTCAGGTAACCAATCCAAATAGTCCCCTGCTAACGAAAAAGCACTTAGGAGTTAGCAGAATTAATATCTGGCACTGACATAGAGGGATGGTGTCTGAAATCAACACCCTCAACCTGGTAAGCCAAAAGGATTATTCTGAAAGGTAATTTACAGTGGATGCTAAACCACTGATATGAGGAGTACAGTAACCTGAAGTACTATGTAACACCCAGACACGATGACAGCAGATGGCCTAGAAACATCTTTCCTTGTTTTTGAGAGACACAGCCAGAACGGAAAGATCTTGGACAGCAAGATCCATATTTTATGGATAATTACTTTTCTGACTAGGGAGGACAAAAGGTGCACAGAGTGGTTTGGAAGAGACAAGTCACAGCCCCTCTGTGTGAGAGAGGCTGGCACAGATTAGCTGATAAGCAAAGAAACCTACTGTTGGTTTTGGGACTGAGGCCCAAAAACACTCTGCTTCACGGATATGTGAATTACTTGAAGGGCATGGCTGGATGTCACGGAACAGAACACACTCTTGGAAGCAGCAGTGGAACACGATGACAGAAACATCCTAAGTTCAACTGGAAAAGGTTCTGGAGTTCAAGGCTCTAGCAGCCTTGACATTCACAGTCCATCCACTTCCACACTGGGAAATTCAAGTGTGTTCAGAGCACTCTGTGTCACCAGACCATGATGACCTGTGCAAGCAAACTGACAGGTTATTCCCTGGCCAGATTTTGGCTTGTTTTAAATAGCACTCTTGCTCGGGGCTCTGACATTCTCTCTGAATAACTCCTGGGCATGGCTTGGTGGTTACAGTGTCCAGAGATGATTCCCAGTGTGCAGTTTGTTTGGCAGCCAGGGCAGTTTGCTAGCACGGACACCAGCCGTTCTGTGCCAGCTGGCCTCAGTGCCCAGGAATATTCCCAGGCACCGTTAGTTTACTAATGTGGATGCAGCTGTAATGGATTCTGCACTACACAGGGAATGTAACCATCTGCAACAATTTAAATGTGTCATGAAATTAAACTTAGATAATGAAAGATAACTAGTGAAAGATATCAGTTTTTGGGTTTATGGCTGGGAATGGCCAAATCTTGAGATTTAACCAAACACCTCTTTTTTTGGTATTTTTTCACCTGTCCAAAACACTCTATGCAATTATTTGCTTTGAAATGTTGACTTCCTTCATAAAGTGTAGTCAATCATCTTACATGGCTGTATGCACACACTCCACTCTATTATTATAATGCTTCTGTTCGTGACATCTAAGGATTCTTCTCATAGGCATCTGGTGACAGTCACACCTTTGATAGCCTTTACTGGTATTTCTAGTCTCCCCATCCTCAGCTTTAAGGGTTACATGTGTGGTGGAGAGGGAAGAGCAGCTGAAGAATATATTTTTCTAGGTATTTGATCAGAGAAATTCCTGTTATATTTTGAAATAGCTGTTTGCAAAGCCCAGAGAGTATTTATTACCATGCTAGCCTTCACACACTAGAAAAACATCAGTTGAGTAGATGTAACATTAAATATCAAAATCCCTTTCTCTCAGTGGGATAGTCACTAAATCTGGAAACCAATGCTCTAGTTTTGGGTAATTCATTCTACATTTCTTTTAAACAGCTTGCTTCAGATTAGGTTCTGAACCTGCATTATTATTTTAGTTGAGGATTACATCAGGTTGCTGTCTAAACTGCTGCTGCTGCTAGCTGTTAGAAAAATCCAAAGCCTGTATAACAAGGCTTTGGGAAAATACTTTGTCATCAATTGAGATTCAATTAAGTCACTTTATAAGCAAAACAAATATGTTATCATTTCCTCTAATAGCTAGGTTTTGAAATGTATTTTTTAAGATGGGTACAATCAAGCAGATGGGAAACCCAAAGAAAAGTACCGACTGGGCAGCACAATATGGCTGTTATAGAATCTAACAATTTGATGCTCACACATCAGACTAACTGCAATCTTCTTTTTTGAATCATTACTTTGTAAATGGGAAACAGAACTGCAACATTCTGTGGATCTCAGGGAATTTCTCTCCCTTGCTTAACTGGTGCTATAACACAAAGTTTACCTGTAGATAGAAGTTATTATACCAGACATCTCCAAGACTTCTTTGTGCAGTGGCATAACACTTACTCAGCTCTCTTCCTTCAGTTTCCCTTCCTTCTGTGCATTTTATGCCATTTCAGTCTCTAAGCCTTGCCAGGCACTGGTGGCTGCATTACCCTACCTTGTTTCTTACAAACAGGCTAAAATCTGACCAAGATGCACAAGGATCTAAATTATTTGCATTGTCATTGCACTGCTATTAGTCTGACTAGAGCACATGATTGTACTTGGTAACCACATGTGTACTTATGTACATTATGGTCACTAGCAAAGCTCATTATGAAAGACCTATTACACTGAATGAATGGCTAGTGAGAGGGTATTCCTCTGGCTCAGATATCTGACTAACAGTTCTGATTATCATCCTCCAGGTTTACATGAAGCTACAGGTTTACCTGTAAGATATCATGATCCAGGGATCCATCTACCAGTGCTTAGCACCCTGAGGCTAAGTTAAGCACACACTGAAACACATACTCTAGTTTATGAAATGCTCCACCATTTAAATTATGCACACTAGGACTGTGCACCATGGATCCTAGCGAAGCAGTCCACTATGGCAAGCACTGACTTGCTTAAAATTGATAAATGAAGATGCTTGGTACTACAGATGCTAAAAGTAGTAGCAGACCTGGACATTCCAGAAACAGAGCATACTCAGCAGGATTCTGGTTTCCAAAATCCAAGTTTGTTGTCTGAAATTATTTTTTTTAAATTTTTATCTTCACTCTCTTGGAGATCACTGCTGTTCATCCAACATGGAATTTATTTTATTTTATTTTTCTTTCCTATTTATACTGTAATTCCTTGTTTTCATGTACTTAGTGAACAAATGTAAGAAGACTATTCTGATTATCTTGAAAAAAAGCTAGAAATAAAGTAAGGATTCTCCTCTTCCTTGTGAGGAAAGTATTCTAATACTGCTAAGTAACTCTGAGTTACCTCCTCAGACTCTGATCAGCTTTACTCCATGTTCCCACTTAGACTTCTTACATTTAATCTTCATGTTACGGTTTAACTTTATGCATGAACACGGATTCCACCAGTGCCTGCACACAGCTCTTGGGGTATGTTTGCAATTGTGATTTTGTTTGGATCAAAAGTGCTTTTGTAAGTCAGTCTCCTGATTGCTCCACTTATGAAGCTGTGGTGGACACTGCAGAGCAGTCCTGTAGAAGGTAAAATGGACTCCCCTCCAATGACACCAAACCACAACATTCCCTTAAACCACTACTTACTGTTCAGCTCACTAAACAAACTTAGCACCCCCATCTCCATACTTTTGAAAAAATCCAGTGGATGCCAACAACATTCTCAGACCCCAGTGTGAATCAATAACTAAGAGCAGTAGATTACAGAAATTCTCAAATATTCTGAGAATTATCCAAAATTATTAAAAAAATATTTTTAAAAATGTGTGTGTTTGGGGCCACAGACTTTACATCTTAAATGTATAAATTCCTATATATTTGGTGCCACCTCATAATTACTTAGCTGTTATGCAGGTATGATACTGCTGAAAAAAACCACTACTGCAGGCTGATAAAACAGCCCAGAGAATACTCATTCACATCCCAAACACACTTCCAAGTTCTTGCATCTCTAAATATTCTCTAATTGCAGCAGCTGGTTTCAGTCACTGTCTTACCCAGATGCTAGCAGGTCACTGACAGGGTTCCAGGCACAGATGAACACTTCTGATTCATGGCCCCGAAGGACTGTTGCTTTGTTAGGAGGAATTTCAACATCCCCGTCAATTTCCATTGGCTTTGAATGATTATCTGTAGAGATATATCAGAATAGTTCACAAGATGCAGTTAGGTCTGTTTTAAAAACATGTCAGCTATCCAAGGCCTAAAGCTTACAGCAGCATATACACCACAATTAATTCTCTGTGCTGTGTCATTGACAATATCACTCTGCTTCTCTCTGGCCGTTCAAATTTATGACATTTCCTCAAAATGCAGAGCTTTCCAAAACATTTTGTGTAACTCTGCATAGCTTTTCATCTCCCAAATACTCAGCATTTAGTTCAGTGTAGTTTTTCTTTTGAAGCTGGCTTCATTAAAAATGACTTACATATTTATTAAAATAATTTTTAAAAATAACATAAAGCATTTTTATTTTCTTACTCAGTCTCCTGTAAGTAACACCTGTGCTACTCACAGACAAAAAATATAATGAGTAGGGGCTTCATTCCTGGAGCACATCAGGGAAATGGTGAGTGATCGTAAGGATCTTGTAATACATACAAAGGTATCAAATGAGTCATAGCTATACTTAACCTGCATGCTGTAACTCTCTTGTTCTTTAGACTGCAGTCTAAGTAACTTTGTTTTTATAAAGTTCTTTTATTGCCTTAAGCAAAAAAAAAAGTGAATTTAAAATGATGGATTTCCTCTTAGTAACAACAATTCATTTCAACTTGCATGATGAACCGTGTTTTTACTCCAGATTTCCTCTGCTTCTGTATCAATATTCCTCATTAAGCTCTAGCTACACTTCCTGGCACCATTACAAGATTATTATCCTCTACAAACAAGACACCATCCAAGGACAGGTGACACACTGAAACAGCAGACAGCAGATGCTATGCAGACAAGTGTGGCCCATTTTGCAGAAAGCACGTCCAAGAGTGGGTAGCTGGCAGCCTCCTGTTACCTAACCAATGCCTTGGCCAGCTGATCTGATCTGACTGATCAAAATGCAAGTTCTCTTTCTGGGTTAAGTCTCTCAGTTAGTCATTCTTTAATCACATACGGAGATCCATAGGTTTGCAAGCAGAATAATTATGCTCCCTTATTGCTGCATGTTTATGGCATTTAAAATCAGCCATCTGTCCTGATTCTCCAGCTCTGCTAAGCTATTGCCCATCAACTGGTGAAACAGACTGTGACATTGCACAAGTGCCATTGGGAGGAAGATCTCCAGATTTCTACCCTTACCTGGGCTTTCACATACCTGGTTTGGCTCTGTCTAACTTATGCTGAGTCACACAAATTTCTCACTGCTTATGTGGTTAGCACCCTAAAACTGTGCCACATCTACACCACAGATGGAATGGAATCTACACGAGTTACACAGAATCAAGTATTAAAATCAGGAAACAACTAACAGTAGTTTCACAGCATATTACTAATTAAAAATATCTATATTTTTGACTACACTAATTACTTACGGACTTGCTGCATAAGCATTGGAAATGCCTATTTGTAAAATCTATACCTATGCTGCGTCCCCATGTTAAGCATCGCCCTTAGATAATTCCCTATGTGTATGACTACTAAATTGAATACTGTTGAGATATACCCATAATCAAGATTTAGTCTGACACCAGCAGCTGGGATCTTTGATATTCAGAGCAGTCAGGCTCTGAAGAGTGAAGCACTGTAAAAACCCACCAGAAGATACAAGCCTAGAACTCATAATCCTCTATTGCTCAGCACAGCACAAATTCACTGTGCTTAAAGCATATTTTCATGAGAAAAACAGCAGCATGACAATGGCTATACATTCATCTGTGTCCTGCTCACAGTGTGAGCTGGAAGCTGGGATTAAATCAAGAAGATATTTCAAGCACTTTAATTTGAAAAATTTAAATGAGATGCTATGCTTACGACATAGGATCCTACTGTTACCTGCCTGGCTCTAAAGGCAGGGCTGCTTTTCACTCTCAATTAAAAGCAAGTGACAGCTGGGAAGCAGCATTACTCCAAGGTCCCAGAGTTAAGAGGTGCTACCAGAGCAAAGCTATCTGATACTCAGGAATATTTGTTGTTTGTATGTGGCCAGATGGAAAAACCTAGACACACACTTTGAATGTTATTAACTGCTGTGAAAAAAACCCCACAAATAATCACGCTGTGAAAAAGAAACCTTGATTAGCTGATACCTCCATTAGTACATGCAAGACCAACTGGCCTCGGGGAGAAATGAAATACCTGCAGAATTATTTTGCATTGTATCTTCCAGTAATGATTTTTGCAATATAGCTTTGGTGTTTTAGGAGAAAAGAGAGGGAAGGACGAGAAGTCTCTCATAAATAATTTGCAAATGCTCACATTTTATGTGTTTCCTTCCTATTTGCATCAGTAGTCAGGAACACTCATATTTAGAGTGTTACTGTTCAGCACAAAACTTATAACGCCCCACTGAACACACAGGACAGCTCATGCCTCTGTGATAGTGCCTCAGGCTCCTATCAGATTCAGGCAGACACTTGCAATATATGACTGATATGATTAGGATAACAAAAAACTGCAGAAACCCCTGAGCACAAACCGGCACCCTCTTAAGAGTGATGAGTTCCTTATGTAGCACCAGCTCTTGGGAGCCCTGGTTTCACCTGAAAATTTGGCTTTCCTATGGATGCAGCTACAATGTGTGCACAGGGAATATGAGAATAAATAGATAAGCGAGATGCAGTAACCATGAAGAACAGGCTTCTTTTGTTTCAAAGTATCTTCCAAGCATAAAGCTTTTGGTTAAGATCTTATTTGCACAAAATTGCCCTCGGGGGCGTTATCTGAAAGAGAAGGCATTCTACTAAGTGCACCAGAGCCTCAGGTGAAAAATAGAACTCTGCAGGTCAGATAGTGAAAGACTCTGTCCAAATGTTAACACAAAACATTTTCTAAAAGCCAGGGGATCTTTGGTTATAGTCAACATTATATTATAATGCTTTTCCTCATATGTATTAAAAATCCCAAATGACTGGAAATTAGAAGTCATATGACCCCAAAATATTAAGAATGAGGGTTTTTTACTTTAGTGTAAAAATAAAAATTCTAACACACTGGTAAGTAATATTAATTGTTTACTCCAAAGAAAAAAATTAGATATTTTTGACATCTTATGAGGGCTAACCCTGCCTTTTCTCAGGAAATATTTATTTATTTATTTATTTTTTAAAAACTTAAATCTTTAAGAGGCTTTTCACAGAAGTTGTTCTTTATGGCTATAGTTTTAATAAAGGAACAGGGCTTAGTTCTCCTTCCAGAGCTTTATTTTTCTTAAATCTAAGCCAATCCTTGCAAATATAATGAAACAAATTACACTAAAAATATTTGAGTTGGAAAACAATCCAAAGTTTGGCTCTATTTCTACATGCTGACTTTTATTTTTTCCTGTAACATTTAAAGAGACTTAAAACTGAGAACATTACTTGGGGAGCAACAAGACAAGGCAGCAACTATTTTATTTAGTATTTGAATCTGCACCTCAAACTATTGTTATTGTTTCCTGTCTCCTCTCTTTATTAAATCTATTGTATTATATTGGTCATGTCACATACAACACTGTATCGTATTATAGTAAATATTTTAAAACTGTTTTGGAAAGACTTAAGAGTGTCAGGGAGAACTCCATGCCAGAATAAATGCAAACTAGGTAATTTCTCAAAGACATCTCTTCCTCCCGCTCCACCCATCCTGCCTTTTTTGAAAGGCTGATATTTGGGTGACTTCCAGGTTATGACTAAGGACTAGCACACTATTTAAACCTGTGCCAATATATGCCCCATCTCTTTTCTCCCAAGGAAAGTCCGTCTCAACATTCCAAGAAAAGGTCTGCAACTGTTTGTGAAAATTCTTCTATTAAAAATAGCTGTGAGAATTATTATTTTTTTAATTAGAAAATGTCAGATTTGAGACATCAAGGCTTACAGTGTGGCTATAAACATGAACTGATCTTTAAGACTTTCCTTTCGTTACTGCAATAGTACACATACTTCTTTGGATCAGAAGGGAACACATCTGAGTGGTTCTCTTTTACTGATGAACCAATGATCAATTTTCTACCTTAAGAGTATGGTTTTGTCTGGCCCTGAGACAGCAAGACATTCCCCTAAAATTTTCATATGTCAGCTGAAGACGTGTCAACAAAAAAAAGTCAGTGTTTGATACATTTCACAGTACTTTAATTTCTATTTGCACCCCTTTACATATGAAATGATTTAAGTTTCAAAGCAGAGGTTAGTTGAAAGTAAAACATATGCAATCCACAGTCTAAGAACAGATTCATATTTTTTAAATGTTCAGATCTTTTTTACATTTGCTTTCTCAAATAGAAATATTATTTAAGTAACTGCAGTTTTACTGGGGGAAATGAACCCATCTAACTGGAATTCTCTGAAAGAAAACCTGTTTTGAAAGTGTTTTTTTCACTGGCCCACAGAGGAATCTATTCAGATGAAAGAGAAGGTGAAGACTGATAAAGGTATCTACACTGCTGAACTAATAAAATCTGTTACATGACTACAGTCCTGACCTTGTCTAAGCCAAAGAGCTGTTAGGGCTTCCTACAAAACCTACCATGCATGTGCCTCTAGAATTTTCTTGGAAGACAACTGGGGAGTAAGAGCTGGCTTCAGAACTCAGCCAGCAATGGGCCTTGCACACAGAAACCAGAACCAGTAATCCCATGTGCCCCAGTGTTAGCACAATCATCAGGATCTAGTTACACAGGGAGGTAGGTCCCACTCCATGTTGGGTATGTCTGACTTTGGATGATTAATTTATAAATGCAGTCTCCCTTAGTCACCCATGAACAAAGGTAAATTCAGCGCTCTTGAGAACTGACTGTTCCCAAAGACTAAGGAAACCTCAGGAAGGTAGGACCTTCGGCTGGATATTTGCTGTATGAATATGCATGAATATGACTGTATGAATAAGCACATGCTATTAAATAAAAGGCCGAGGAATAATTTTCCTCTGTGCCTTCAAGACAGGTTGGCTGCATCCAAGCTGTTTGCTGGGAATGGTCCTCGGGCACATGTGCTTGGCAATGCTGTTCAGGAATGGACAGTTGGTATAGCCCAAACTGGGCTAATGAACATGACAGTAAGGCTATGGCTGCTCCTGTGCTTGGTCACACCGTACAAGAATGGTGCCAAACTGGGCCAAGGGCCATGCCAGGGCTATGGATGATCACAGGACTGCTACTGCACAAGGCTATGCACTGGCCACACAACAGTCACACAGATAGGGCTTGTAGGTCTGTTGGAGGTTCGGATTACTCCTTTCCTTTTCTTTCTCTCAGGGAAATTTCTCCCATATATTGCTAAGAGACAATAACAACAGGTACTTAAGAGAGACAAATGGAAGGGTATGGCTGGCTACTCTCTTAGCTGAGGGGCTTCTCTGGGAGGGGCAGAGACACTGAAGATTTGGGCTGGGAGAAGGGGCAGCTCCTAGCGCTCTCTCACTTGTCTGCATCAGAGGGGAAAGAGGCGGCAGTCACGGTGGGGAGAAGTCATCACCACTGTGAGTCTCCATCTCCTGCTGTCTTCTCCTATCCCAGCTGCTTCCAAGGTTGCTGTTACAACTCATTTTGCTCTCTAGAGAAGCACCAGGACTTCCTGCTCCTGTGGGTTTGCAAAGCAAGCCCCTTTTTCCATCCCTTCCATAGGCTGAGCTGCCATTACCGTGGAGAGAGGCGGCTGAGCCCGCGCCACAGCGCCCCCTGCAGTCACGGAGGAATCATCGGCCCCACCCTACCCAGAGCCAGCAGCGCCCCTGCCGGCTGTGCCTGGAACTCCACCGAAAGGAAAGGTGCCACAGCCAGGAGAGGCTGTTCGAGGCTGTTCCTGGGTTTGTGGTTCTGGCTGTTGTTGCTGCCATTGCTGTTTGTTTTGCCTTGTTACATATATACATACTAGCAAAGAACTATTGTTTCTTTTCCCATATCTTTGCCTGAAAACTGCTTAATTTACAAGTTATAATAATTTGGAGGGAAGGGGGCTATATTCTCCATTCCAAGGGAGGTCCCTGTCTCCCTTGGCGGATATATGTCTTTCAAATCAAGACAAAGTCCCAGCCTTTCAACTCAACTCTCTCCTAGCCTGGCCAAAATGACAAGCCTTGGCTACAGCCCAGTTTTTATCCAATATCTAAAAGCATCTAGAAAGCTATAATAAAGTCTGGGTAGCCTGCTCCAAAGAGAGAGCATACAGCTCCACTTCTTGATGCTGTCTTCAACTTGCAATTCTGAACATATCTGAAGTTTTCAGATTGTCAGAGACAGGTAAAACACAGCACTGTGATGCGAAACATCATTTTCACTCAGCAGCCTTTTTAGAAATGCCCCACCCTCCTGGAATGATTGCCCTTAGTTCTAGCACCTAGCAGAAAGCACAGAATATTACTGAAACACAAACTGCCCAGCAGCGGCAGGCAGCTGGCTGTTGACTTACTTATTGCATGTGCCCCATTCTCCTCTCCATTCACAGTGGCTTCTCCGTTCTTTGGTGTGTTCTGCTGCGAAACAGCAGTCGTCGTGGCTCCCGCTGTGGCCGCCGTGGCTGCCGCTGCTGCCGCGGCGCTGGCTTGTTGCTGCGCTAGCTTCTCTCTGAACGCTTGCTGTCGGGTCTGAACAACATCAGGCATCACCGCGTCTATCAGAGACAGGGACTCTATCGGCCTGCCATCAAATACTGTACCATCCTGCAGGGAAAACGAGCAGAAGGGAAACCCCAAGTTTAGGATCTTCACCACTCAGGTCGGCAAAGAATCACAAAAGAAGATGTGAAGATACTACACTTTGACTTAACCAATAGTGCCACAGGACTATGGACTGCCTCTCCCTCAGATCTGAGATGGTGGCACTCATGCATGGTCCACTGAGAAATCTGACCAGTGAAAAAGGAATTTTATAGAAAGTTCTACCATAAAAATGCTTTATAGATGTAAAAAAAATTAAGCTGAGTTAAAAAGTATGTCTGACCAATGACAGAAAGCTTCTCTTTGTTTTCTGTTTGAAAAAGCGGAGTCATGGCTAAAGCCATGACAAAAGCAAACAGACTTTGGTTAAACTGTTTGCCTTCCTACACTTGCAGGAGCATAGGAATGGAATGAAAGCAGATGATGCATAATGAACCTCAACCAAAGCATGACGTATGCGCAAATTCAGTTGTTACTCAGGCAGTGTTCTTCAGCCCAGCAACACCAGTTGGTAGCTGATCATACAAGACACCTTACCATTATTTTTCTTTTATTCCACTGTATTATTCAAAATAGTTATGGCTTTCATTTTGATTTCTGTAAATTAAACTTCAGCTTCAAAAACCCATTGAGTAAACTTTTAAGGGCTGTTGAAGACTTAATACAGACTGTATTGACTTAGCTTTTCTTTACTTTCATTTTCCTATTATCTTAAATATAGAGGAAATATTTTAGTAGTCTTTGTAAAGTGCCATTTTGCCAATTTTCTGCAAACTCCCTTCAATTCTCTGAAATAATAATGATGCAGTGGTGAAAGATTTTTCTTGAGAAAGAGCAAGTAAGAATAGGTTACAGACAGATAATGTAGCTGGTGAGCAATATCATCTTCCATATGTGAGAACAATTAATAAAGAAAAAGAGTTGCTTGCCTGATTGGTATGTTTCTGCTGAACTAATTGTTGAATTACCCCTTAGAATTATAATATAAAGATAATACATTTTTTTTTTTCTCACGGGGAAGAAAAAGTAGGAGACAGTCATTAGAGAAGAAACCATAATCTCTTTTTAACCTCAACATTTTTTATGTATCCACCAAAATTTATTTGAATATTGACACAAATTCACAAATTTGCTAGACAATAAACAAAATGTTTGCCAACAGATCCTGACATCTTACATTTTCATCTGTAAATATACTCACTGGACTATTTACATGACTGCCCTTTAATAGATCACAAACAATAATTTTATACACACTAGTTCATGGACTCACTGATGGCTTGTTGTTACTTGTCACTCTTAGGTAACACACACATAGAAAAGTAACACACAGTGAAGAATGCATGGCAGCCCTTACTGGGATTCAGATGTAACAAGAATGGCCTTTGCTTTGCTGTAACATACTTAACAGTATATATTTGAATGGAATCATAGAACGGCTTGGGTTGGAAAGCACCTTAAAGGTCACAGAGTTCCAACATCACCGCCATGGGCAAGGACACCTTCCATTAGACCAGGCCCTGTTCAACCTGACTCAAACCATGGTGAGAGCATCATCAATCTTAATGGTGACAACAGGCATATTTTCAGATTATTCTCTGCTTTTAGGGAAAGCCTTGAAGCTCAGTAAGCGCAGGCCCCTACCAACCCAACCTGATCTAATATGGGTGCTTCAGAGCTGGAACTTTCTAACTGTGTAGCTCCAATTTCAGGCATGGGGAAAAATGTTAAGTAGCAGCAAATTTAGACAGCTTCCTAACACTGGTTTGTTCAAACACTGTTTGCATCAAAGTGCAGCTTGGCATGAATGTCAAATGTCATTGCCCCAATAACAAAATAACACATATACAAATCTTATACATGGTATTGAGTCATAAAAAGAAAAAAACACACAGAATGTTTGGATAAAACCAGAAGTTTCCAAACTACGCATTGCAAGCAACACAGCCTTTTCTCTATTTTATATTCCTTTGTTCTCACCCATGCTGTTCACATGCTACATTCAGGTGTAGAGGAAAAAGCAGTAGTTCCTTTGCATTAATATTCATTACAGATGTTTGTCAATCAGAAATATCTATCGTAAAAATTTTGTAATGCAGCACTTGCTTATCTGTCATGCTTCATTCCCTCTCAAAGCACCACGTCTTTAAGGTTGGCAGGGCAAATACACTGGCTTTTCCCACATCCCTTCTTTGTTTCCACTGGCAGTTCAAAGAGAACAGACAGTTTGTGGCTGTCCATACAGTCTCTACAGAAAACCTGCATCCCAGCCACATTCAGAATTTACACTCACTTGTTTCACCATGTACATGATGCCTCATCTCATATGATCTAGAACCAAGTCACTGAAATCACTCTCCAGTGACCTCTGTGGATTTTTGCAGGCTTCTCATGGCTTGGGATCCGTGTTGCCTGCTAGGACGTGTCAGGGAGGGACATTTTAACCTATGCTGCAGGTCTTTCCTGCCGAATTCTGCTATGACCTTGAAAATGCCAGACTGTAAGTACAGGTGCCTTTTCTTGTTTGCTGCAGAAGCTGTACACCTTAGATTTGTTGGCTGGGGTAGCAGAAACACCACAAATATCCATCTAAGCAGCGCACAGAACGCCTCCCTGCCACAGCTAAGAAAACGGAAACACGTCTCCATCTCAGAGCTTTCTGGCCCGCTGCTGGGATGGGGCAAAGTATGAGGAATAAGATTAAACCAGATGAGGAGAAGAGCTGGGGAGTGGCTTGTGTTGGGGCTGCTGGGCTGTGCTGCTTGGCACGCCTCGGCGTGCGGCGGTGGCGGAGGTGGCAGTGGTACTTACTTCGTTGATGCTGATCTCGGCCTCCACATACTGGAGCCCCTTCTGGAGGATGGAGATGAGTGCGGCAGGTGGCACTAGTGTTCCGTTGATGTTGGACTGGCTGATGTGGCTCTCGATACCGAAGGTAAAGGCCGAGTGGGAGAAACCTGAGAGCAGGAAAAGGAAGCCATGATATGAAATCTCAATGCACCAGTCAGATACACCTTCGTGTTCTAAAAATATTCTGTCCTGAGATCTAAGAGATGCTGCCGTGTAAGCAGAAGGGTGTGGGCTGGCAGCTCAGAGCTGAGGGGCTCAACCTGAGCCACCCTGACTGCCCATCCCCCCCCGCACATACAGGGGAAGTCATATAGAAATGGAAATGCATGCAGAGAAAAATAACTGTACTAACCGAAACAAAACCCCCCAAAACACATAAACACCAGCAATTGCCACATGAGCAGGTCCAGCTAAAAAAAGTGCCTCAAATCTCCATTTCCCTTGCTGAATTTCAGTGTTGGGTGTTTGCTGAAGCTGCACACTTAAATCCCTACCAGCATGTTGTATAAAATTAAGGCATAGATGTAGATGACACAGGGGAGCTGTTCCCTTATACAGAAAGGGAAGAGATTTCAAATCCTCTGTTCATTTATTGTTTAGTACAGTATGATGGGCAGAGCACTGCCGTTAAAATGTGAAACTACAAAAAGGCCACCTCTGTAAACCTATTTGAACCTATGTGAACAGCAATACTGAAAGTAATTAACTGGGATCTGCCACACAGCAGATGACAAGCCAGTGAGGTGGCCTGCACTTCAGCCAGAAGTCTTTCTCTTCCCTGTTTTGTTTTTGTCATTGTCTGAGTAAGTGGCAATGAAGGTGACAGCACTGAAAATTGAAGAATTTTGGCACACATTTTAAAGAGTGCTGCCTTAAATCCTGGCTGAAGCTGCTCAGAACTGTTGCTGGGTATGGAGGCGAGTGCTGCAGAGAGACTGTACAGAGGGGCAGCTGCGGGAGGGGAAAGGGGGAACAGGATGTAGATATAACTGTAGGAACCCATTTATCATCACACTGTCTCCAGAGCATTAATCTAACATTAAAAGCCTTGGGGAAACCACCCATGCACTGTTTCAAACAGGAAGAGCCCTCATGGTCTCCACCAAGTAGACAAGAAAAAACCAACAAACAACAACCCTCCCACCCCCCACCCGCCCCCCAAAAAAAAAAGAAAAAGAAAGCAGCTTTCAAATGAAAATACTTCCGTTAAATATAGCTGTGCCTCTTCCCCTTGTCAACACCAGTTTCATTTATAGTTTTATCCGTTAAGGGATTTCCCCTATATCGCTGCAATGTCCAATTGTGTGCAGGCTGGGGATGTGATTTTGGGCTCACTCGATAGTAATGCTTTCTTTCTCCCTTTTCAAGATGCTTTTTCCAGATAGCTCAATTATTAACATAGATAGCTAGCAAAAACAAGCTGAGAAACAGAGTGCCTCCCACATTTGAAACCAAGGTATGTATTTCTCTGATTCTCCCCCTCCCCCTACGCATTTTATTTTGCTGCTGCTTTTCTCTTTTTCCTGCTAACAGCTCCCACTCTCTCCCCTCCCAACCCTAATTTCCCTTCCCATCACTCTCCCAGTTTTGGGGGATGTTTTGGACACTTTTTAGGAAACGGCAGGTCCACCTATGAACAGAATTCCATAGGCATAAAAAAAATAAATTCACAAGGCATAAAAAAAGGACAGATAAAAAAAAAAACACTGAAAAGCTGCAGTATCATTTATGTAACCCCTAGTCCAATTTGTTATTCTGTATTGCTCTTTATGTCCTGGTCCATTTTATGAGCTGTTGGACCTCCTGCTGTGAAATAGACTGTAAGATCTGCAGGGCAGTGTTTTTTCCCTGGTTTATTAGTTTTGTAGGACATCTAAGCACATTACTGGGAACCACAATGAGGAAGAAATCAAGCACTGAGCATACATGCACTTGAGAGGTCTAGGGCCTAATCACTGAACACTGAAATCTCTCTGTATCTATAAATACATGGCATAAAACTAACCAGAATTAGAGAATCAGATCCCTCTTAATTTATATTTATGTGTATTTGAATTAATCAACAATTGCAATGCAACTTTCTTGAAACAGAATGTACTTAAAAATACATGACAGATAAATCAGTAAAACTATGTAAGAATGAGAAAATAGAACTGCTGTCCAAGAGCACTGAAAGTGACTAAAGCTGAAAAACCCAGCAGCTAGTTTGCAAGTCAACAGCTCAGAAAAAGGGAACATGGTCTCTGATTAAACAGGTGGATGACATAAAAATGGCAAACAACAAACACGAGGAAAAGTAAAAAAGTGGAAAACCATGACTGTGGATCTATGGCAGACATAATCTTAAATATGATATTTTACATCTCATTATTGCATTTTGTCTCTTTAGCTGAAGACAGATGACTGTGCACACAGCTCAACCTCTTTGTTCAGTTCTGATCCCCAGAGAGCAACACATCTCATAGCATGTGAGAGAAGAAACTTCTCAGTACGAATCTCAGTTGTGTTTTTGTAATGAAACTTGTTATCTTACTGTTTCTCTGGATGCTGAGAAACTATTACCAAAGCACCTGTTAGATGAAGAAACACTAAACTCCTGGTACACTGTCACTGAAGAGCAATCTAACTCACACACCTCCAGCAGCTGTGAGAAACTTTCCAAAGATTTTATCACACAAGATCTGATTAACAAAAATCAGCAGAGCAAAATCGTTTAAGTGGGTGCTGCTGGACATGGTGCTCTTCACCCCTCTTGAAAAAATCCACCTATACAATTGTAAAAAAAAAGACAACAAACCCAACAGAAACATGCCAATCAGTCCTCCAACAGATAGCTAATTCCCTCCTGATTTCTTTTCTTCCCGTGGCAGTTACATAAGGTTCGTGTGAAAATAGACTGGTTTTAAAACTACTTCACACAGTCAACAAAATCTTCACTGAAGCTGTACCTACATCAGGTTTCTGATAACACTGAAGAATCACCTGAGCTTTAATAGTTACCAGATGTCATCAGTTCTTTTCAGGGTTCTGCATTCAAGTACACAAAATTACATAGCAAAGTTGCAGCTCCATAGCTCAGCCTTATGAAAAGGTGATTTCTATCAAACATTTTCTATCAAAATTTAAGAAAAATGTCAGCCTGTTAACCTGGCCCTCCTTCTAAGATCATGTAACTACACTGAGGATGCAAAGCCAAGACACAAGAACCACCCCCACCTCCAGTCTGTCAGTGCAGTTGGGGAGCGTGAGCAGAGACAGAAGGTGCTCTGAAGGAAGGATGTGGTGGGGATGACGTGAAATTACAGTAGACACAAACTCAAAATGCCGAGGCAGCAGTGAAATGAATGAAAGTTGCAAATCTGTGTCCGTATGGATCCTTTCTCATAAATTCTGTCACTCTGGTGACTGCAATAATCACTCTATAAAACAGTAATTTCTGTCCAAATAGCACCAGTAAACAAAATCTTAGTGCAATAAACCCTTCAAAGACACACGCAGTGAGACTATGAGCTTTTAAAGTTAAAAGCATGAACACAAAGGGCTGAAGAGCAGAAAGCATTGCCACACACTGAACAGCTTCATAGCACTGAACCAGCTGCTTTTGCTGTGACATGACCAATGCTCTAAATAACATCTTTCAGCAGACTTGAGAGAATAGCTTCCAGGTTTTTTCTGCCTCAAGAAAGAAGGGAAAACAGAAACCATCAAGCTATGCATAATCTGTAACTACATTATCATATATGAAAAGATATACCCAAATGAACAGTGCAGATCTTGGGATGATCTTGGTATGAATGGAGGTGAATTATCAACTGTGGAATAATTGGATTTGAAGTATTTTACAGCGCATGAAAGCAGAGAGGAAATAATGAATGCAGAAAACAATTGCTTAAATGATGCCCCAATCCAAAAAATTGTTACACAAGTCAAAAAACAGACTTGAAAACTGACTGAAATTCCTAATCAAGAGATTCCCACACTTTTTTTGTACTGACAGTGGTAACAGGTCCTGGTTCTGTGCTGTATCTTTTCCCACACTGAGGTGTCTGTATATACTCTCAGTGGTACATACACAGCCATTTGGGAATTCTTGCCCCAGGCAGTGCCAAAAAATGCATATGTAGGGCTGTGTTTTGCAAAATTTCACTGATAGGTTTTGCTACAACTGCAAAAACAGAGATGATGGAGGGTTTTTCCTTTGGCTGCTCCTTTTTCAGTTAAAAATGGCTTCCCTTTGAAGACAGATTTGTCATTGATCATAAAATGACAAAGTTTTACTTAATGAACATAATGCTTGTAGCATGCTTGTTTCATCTGAAGGCTACCTAGTTTTAATTGTTTACAGTATCCCTGGCTCACATCAGAAATGCCTGTCAAACGTAGGTGTAGAAAAGACAACTGAAGAGCCACACAGCCCGGGGAATGGCTTCTCTTCTCCAGAGATGTGTCTCACCTCTTCTGGGAGCAAAGCTTTCCTCCTTTTAGACTTGCAGCTGGGGTGATGCTGAGTATTCCCCATGCTGCTCATCTGCACTCATAGCTCCAGCTAAAATTGACATCTACCAAGTGTTCCTTTCATTTCCTAATCTCTTTAGCACCACAAAAAGCATGTCTTTGTAAAACTGCAACCTTGAACTGTAGCAACTACAGTACCCACTGCTGTATTTGTACAGGTGAGGGGAAGGACAAAGAGGGGTCTGTGGAAGCAACGACTTTTGAACTGTTTCAGTCCTTGCTGGTTCCCCGGGAGTTACTTTGGGGATGCCCTGATGAGCAATAGAGAGGTGATCTGTTGAACAAAGTTTTCTCTTTGTGAGCTGAGTGGACTTAGTTTTCTCTGGTTAACCTAAGTAGGTTGCTGTACAAATAATTTTTAAAACCCAGGTGTTTTACAGGTATTTATGAATTACTTTGTTCGATTACTCACATATAAGATCCTTCTTGAAACATTTGCTACTGTACAATGAAACAGAGAATAAAAAATTGCCTTTTACACACACCTTGGACATCTTGATGATGAACAGCCTTTATCCCAACCCTGAGTACAAGTAAGAAGCCATTCCTACAAATCTTTATATAATTAGTGCCCAGCGTGGCCCTCTTTTCT